CCTATGATGCTGCTTGGCCTGCTGTGTTCATCCAGCTCTACCCCTTGTTATCTCAGATTTTCCAGTATCTGCAGTTCCTACTATCTCTATATTTGAATATACCTGTTTAATTTCAATCTGCTTTTACAATGTAGAATTTATTTCTAGCCAAGAGGACTGTTATTTTCAGAAATTCATTGAAGATTAATTTTGATAATTTTGAAATTTCTTTTTCAAAATGTGATCTTCCAGTCAAATTAGTGGAAATTAATAATGGGCAAGTTCTTTAAATGAGCAGTATACAACTCGTACAGTGAAGGTCATTCCCTAATCCAGTCTTAAGAGCTTTTCATCAGAACACTGAATCAATTTACTGCTTCAAAAAGAGTAAGTGAATGTATGATTTGGTGACAGTGTATTTTATAGATAATCCTCAATCCATTCTTGTAGCATTTTATTTCTGACTAAAGGCAGGACATGTTAAAATAAAATTGTTGGTTGGTACAGAGTTTGCTTTTTTTTGGAAACACGAAACTGAAGTCCTTTATTGTCATGCGCTATCTTCTTCTTGAATTTTGTAATTTGATTTATTTTTGTAATTTCAGACAGGGAGAAAGCTAGAAGCGGAGCAAACCTATAAATATGCATTAAAGGTTTGTTCAAAGACTGATATCTTGTTTCGCTGCTGTTCCATCGGTATATTGTACAGGATGCAACAGATAGCCACAGAATAATAGGAGTAAGCAAGGCAGACCATTTCAGTGAGACATAACTGATCTGTATCTTAGTTCCATTCATTCACTTTTATTCCATATCCCTGGTGAGCAAAGACCTGTGGATATCAGAAGTAAAATTATTAGTTGAGCTTGCAATCTACTACTTTTTGTAGGAAAGATCTTCACCTTTCACGATTCTTTGTGTGAAGGATTGCTAACTTTGTTTCATATTTTGAGATTGCACTCCTCGTCTTGGACTCTGCTAGAGTGGAAAAAAATTAGTTTTATTGCTTCCATTAGGGGTGATAGTGAGGTAGTGATAGTATCAGTGGATTAGTAATTCAGAGATTAAGGCTAATGTTCTGAAAATGTGGTTGAAATCCTTCCACAGCAGCTGGTGGATTATAAATTAAGTAAATGAATTTGGAACATAAAACTAGTCATTAGTGATTAAACTACTATTGATTGCTGTAAAAATCCATCTGCTTCACTAATGTCCTTGAAGTTGGAAATCTGTTATTCTTGCATGATCTGGTCTGCATGTGAGTCCAGGCCCACAGCAGTGTGGTTGACTCTCAGCTGCCCTCTGAAATGACCATGAAACAGTCAGTTCAGAAACAATTATAGATGCTGAATTGCTAGCATTGCTCACATCCCATGAAAGAATTTTAATAAATTCCTTTCAAAATGCTTAAACTTCAATATTCCAAACAAAATTTCTCTTCATAATTTAGTCCTTGGGATCCTGATAACATTCTGCTAAATCTTAGTTGCATTTCATCCAAATCTAATATATCCTACTGTCGATACAGTGCCTAGAACCGTACACAGTTATGATCTGATCAAAGAAAACGTTTTCAGATTCTAAAAACATTCTCAGTTTATAGCGTTGTGATTGGGTACTTTACAGTTACAGTGATGGCAAACATTAAAGAACAATAACTGTGATACGGATAAATGGCAATGTAACCTGAACACCGTGCTTTCAATATATATGCATTTTTAGCTGTGTTATAAATCCGGTCTGAGTTACTCATTTCACAGACCAATTGCACAATGAATTGAATTACAACCAGCTGAGCATCAGATTTCATAGAATTATAAAATCCCTACAGTGTGAAAGCACGCTATTTGGTCCATCGAGTCTACACAGTCCCTCTGAAGAGGATCCCACCCAGACCTACCGCCTACTCTATCTCTGTAACCCATGGCTAATCCACCTAACCTGCACTTCTTTGGACTGTGGAAGAAAACCGAAGCACTTGGTGGAAACCCACACAGACACAGGGAGAATGTGTAAACTCCACATAGATGGTCACCCGAGGCTGGAATTGAACCTGAGTCCCTGGCGCTGTTGGGCAGCAGTGCTAATGACTGAGCCATCGTGTTGCCCCTAGCCACCCTGTCGCCCCTTATATAATATTATATCCCACTTAAATAATAACTTTTCCAACCATGGAAAGATTTACAAGAATGTTGCCAGGACTGAGGGTTTGAGTTATCAGGAGAGGCTGAATAGGCTGGGGCTTTTTTCCCGGAGCATCTGAGACTGAGGGGTGACCTTATAGACCTTATAGTTAGTAAAATCATGAGCAGCATGGATAGGGTGAATAGCCAAGGTCTTTTTTCTCGGCTGGGTAAGTCCAAAACTAGAGGACATAGGTTTAAGTTGAGAGGGGAAAGATTTGCTTTTTCATGCAGGGGGTGGTGCATGTATGGAACGAGCTGCAAGAGGAAGTGATGGAGGCTGGTATAATTATAACATTTAAAAGGCACCTGGATGGGTTTCTGAATAGGAAGCGTTTAAAGGGATATGAGCCAAATGCTAGCAAATGGGATTAGATCAGATTGAGATATCTGGTCGACGTGGATGAGTTGGACCGGAGGGTCTGTTTCTGTGCTGCATAATTCTAAGGCTCCGTGTGACAAATTCCTTTTCTTCACATTTATGAGGAGTTACTAAATGTAGACAAGGCATATAATCAATGAGGAAAACAAATGATTAAATTCAGCTACTTCTCGTTCAAAGTCTTCAGAAACCCAAAGGTACTTGGTTGCTCAGCCCCCAGTCTTCTGTCCCAGCGAATTTCGCGTTGTTTGGAAGGAAGGTAATAAAATTGAGTGCACCGGAAGGGATGAGGGACTCTGTGTGTTGGTTGGGGAACAGTTGACATAAATAGAGGGAGTGTCATTTGCTGAAGAAATTTAGAATTATAATGTGAAGGCTTGATGCATTCTGTAATCTTAATTAGTTAAACAGATTTTAGAATGTCACATTTCTGTAGTGTTTAAGAATACACTTTTCATACGAACAGTGTTGGTTAAGTCCAGTTGTGCAAACCGTCCAAAAATTCTATTAGAAATAGAAATTGTGGCAGACTGTCACTCTGCCTCTGCCTTGAAATTTAGTAATCTGTTTTCTTGGTTTAGCCTGTTTTAAGATACTATTGTTAAAAATAGCATTTTTATCTCCATTTTCAGCATTTAATCTCATTGTACTTATTGATTCAGCATTGCATGCACATAAATATCCACTTTATTGAGAAATATACTTTTAGGATTACTGCACATTCAACAGAGAAATAATTGTAAGTCAATCCTGTATATGAAATTCATGCAGACAATGGTAGACAGTCAACTGGAGAAACAATATTAATGCTAATCTGCAGTTATTTTTATTTTCCACAGTTAAACCTCCAAAATAGAAAGCTCCTTGATGAGATTAATCAGCTGCAGAAAACACTTGGCTTTGGAAATCCATCACTTTGAACCAATTGCAATCCATCCGTTCTTATCTTAGCTTCATGCGTCTCTGAACAGCCTTTAATTTTGTTCTGTTGTCATTTGTTATACATCTCTAGAAGGTGTGTATTTTTTGGTCAAAATAAAGTCAGCCTTACATCCAAATGTTAATGTGTACTCCAAGATTGGATTGATTGCATGACTTACAAAAACTGAATAAAATAGATTTTGAAAACTTTGTGTTTTCTGTTATTTATTATGATCTTCTGGATCCCATTTTCTTTTTTCTTCTGCTGCATTTTTCCTAAGTTTAATTAGTTGTCACATACTATTACTTGAAATAAAACTGTTAGATATGTTTCTCTTATGCTTCACTTTCATGACCATGCCAGTATTGGAATGCTTGCAGAGAGCGGCAAGGCATCATACTGGTAAATTAAGGGATAGCAAAAAGCTAGAAGTCAGAGTCGATACAGTGTGGAGCTGGAGGATCACAGCAGGTCAGGCAGCATCAGAGGAGCAGAAAAGTTGGCGTTTTGGGTCAGGACCCTTCATCATGACTGGGGTGGGGGCAAGGAGGGGGGACGGAAATGTAGGTGGGTTGGTGATAGGTGGATGCAGGTAGGGGGTAGTGGAGATTGATCAGTGGGAAGGGTGGAGCGGATAGGTGAAAGAGAAGATGGACAGGTTGTGTCAGGTCAAGGAGGCAGGGATGAGGGGGAGGGCTGGACATGGGATGAGGCCATGGGTGGGGACATTTTGAAGCTGGTGAATTCTCTGTTGAGGCCATTGGGCTGTAAACTCCTGAGGGGGAATATAAGGTGTTGTTCCTCCAAATTTCGCGTGGCCTCATTGTGACAATGGAGGAGGCCCAGCATGGACGTGTCACCATTGAGATGGTTAGTTAAAATGGCAAGCAAAAGATGGTGTTGATTGGAGTATACAGAGTGCAGGTGCTCCACAAATTGGTCACTGAGTCAGTGCTTGGTCTTTCCGACGTAGAGGAGACCACATCGGGATCAATGGATGTCGTAGACCAGGCTAGAAGACATACAAGTGAATCCTTGTCAGATACAGAATGATTGTTTGGGGCCTTGGACAGAGATGAGAGGGGAGGTGTAGGGGCAGGTGTAGCACTTCCTGCGGTTGCAGGGAAAGGTGCCGGGTGTGATAGGGTTGGTGGGGAGTGTGGAGTGGACAAGGGAGTTGCAGAGAGAGCAATCCCTATGGAAAGCAGACTGGGGTGGGGAGGGGAATATCTCTTTGGTGGTGGGGTCTGATTGCAGGTGGTGAAAATGGCAGAGGATGATGCATTGGATTTGGAGATTACCTGGGTGATATATGAGGACCAGGGGGTCTCTATCCTTGTTATTGTTGGGGGGAAGGGGGATTTGAGGGCACAATTGCAGGAAATGCAGGAGATGTGGTTGAGAACATTATGAATCATGGGAGAGGGGAGGTAATGGTCTGTAAAGTAGGAGGACATCTGGGATGTCTAAGAGGGAATGCTTCATCCTGGGAGCATATGCGCTGGAGATGGAAGACTTGGGAGTATAAGTTCGCATTTTTGCAAAAGGGTGGGTGAGGAGGTGTAGTCAAGGTAGCTATGGGAGTCAGTGGGTTTGAAATAGATGTCAGTGCTGTGTTGGTTGCCAGAGATGGAGACGGAGAGGTCCAGGAAGGGGAGGGAGGTGTCGGAGATGGTCCAGGTGAATTTGAGGTTGGGGTGAAAGTTGTTGGTGAAGTAGATGAACTGTTTGAGCTCCTCAGTCACCCCCACGACCCCATTTATTTCTCTTCCACTTCCCCAGTCCTGATGAAGGGTCATGACCTGAAATGTTGACTTTCATGCTCCTCTGATGCTGCCTGATCTGTTGTGTTCCTCCAGCTCCACACTGTAGTAATACTGGTAAATTAAGGGGCTACCTTTTCCTCATTCAGTGACTTTTTGTGAATATAATTTCACCCCTGTTGCAACAAGGGAGTGGGTTACAGTCAGGCCTGCTCACCCAGAAGCAGATTCCACCACCTTCCTATAGCTCAAACCCTCCAACTATGGCAACATTCTTGTAAATCTTTTCTGAACCCTTTCAACTTTCCTATAGCTGATTGTAGGTGGCATTCAGAACTTCTGAAGAAGGGTACTGACGCAAAATGTCAATTTTCCTATTCCTCTGATGTTGCCTGACTTGCTGTGTTCCTCTAGCTCCGCACTGTGTCGTGTAGGAATTGGGAGGTCATGTTTTGCGGTTGTACTGAACTTTGGTTAGCCCACTTTTGGAATTATGGTCTCCCAGCTATAGGAAAGTTGAAAGGGTTCAGAAAAGATTTACAAGAATGTTGCCATAGTTGGAGGGTTTGAGCTATAGGAAGGGGTTGAATAAGCTGGGGCTATTTTCACTGCAGCATTGTGGCTGAGGGGTAACCTTATAGAGGTTTATAAAATCATGAGGGGCACGGATAGGGTGAACAGCCAAGGCATTTTCCCCAGGTTAGGCGAGTCCAGAACTAGAAGGTATAGGTTTACAGTGAGAAGGGAAAGATTTAAAAGAAACCTAAGGGGTAATTTTTTCATGCAGCGTCGCACATGTATGAAATGAGCTGCCAGAGGAAGTGGTGGAGGCTGGTACAATTACAACATTTAAAAGGCATCTGGAAGGGTAAATAAATAGGCAGGGTTTAGAAGGCTATGAGCCAAATGCTGGCAAATGAGACTAGGTCAGATTGGGATGCTGTATGACTCTATAATATGAATTTATGGAATGTCTATGAGATTGTTTTCAGACCAGCTTGTGGTATAGCCCAGAAGGGAACAGGCAATTCTGGATTTGGTGATGTGTAACGAGGCAGACCTGATTAGAAAGCTTAAGGTGAAGGAACCCCTAGAGGGCGGTGACCATTTTATGATAGAATTTACTCTGCAGTTTGAGACGGAGAAGGTGGAATCATACAATTGAATAAAGGTAAACAAAGACATGAAGGAGGATCTGGTTGATTGGAAAAGAACAGCCTAACAGGGAAGACAATGGAGCAGCAATGACAGTAGTTTCTGGGGATAATTTGGGAGACACAGCAGAAATTCATCCCAAGGAAGAAGAAACATACTAGGTAGAGGATGAGGCGACTCTGGCTGACAAGGGAAGTCAGAAACAGCATAAAATCAAAAGAAAAAGCACACAATGCTGTGAAGATTAGTGGGATGCCTGATTATTGGGAAGCCTTTAAAAACCAGCAGAGGATAAATAAAAAAGCAAGAAGGGGGAGAAAATCAAATATGATTTTATAGGAAGCTGGGAGGCTGCAGAAGGACTTGGACAGGATAGGAGAGTGGGCAAAGAAGTGGCAAATGGAATACAATGTGGGAAAGTATGAGGTTATGCACTTTGCTGAAAGGTTTAGAAGCATAAGCTATTTTCAATATTGGAGCAAGGCTTTAGAAATCTGAAGCACAAAGGGACTGGGGAGTCCTAATTCATGATTCTGTTAAGATCACCATGTGGGTTCATTTGCCAGCAAGGAAAGTGAAGTTTGAGAGAGCTAGAATACAAAAGCAGAGATGTACTGCTGGGGCTTTATATAATTCTGGTCAGACCACATTGGGAATATCGTGAGTAGTTTTGGGACCCTATCTAAGGAAGGATGTGCTGACCTTGGGACGTTGGCCAGGGAAGATTTACAAGAATGATCTCGGTGATGAAGGGCTTATTATATGAGGAATGGTTGAGAACTCTGGGTCTGTACCTAATGGAAGTTCAGAAAGATGGGGGAGGAATCTGATTCAAACATACAGAATACTGAGCGCCTTGGATATAGTGGATGTGGAAATGTTCCCACTAGTAGGAGAAATGAGGACCTGAGGACACAGCCTCAGAGTGAAGGGATTTTCCTGGGCATGAAGGGGAATTTGCTAGATGACGTGGGGGAGAAGGGGAGTTGCTGGGGTCTTGAGTCACATGTAGGCCAGACCAGATAAGAATGGCAATTTCCTTCCCTATACAGCATGAATGAACCAGGTGTATTTTTCCAACAATTGACAATGGATTCACGGTCATCATTAGACTCTTAATTCTAGATTTTTATCACATTCAAATTCCACTATCTGCTATGGTGGGATTCAAAGCTGGGTCCCCAGAACATTCTTCAGAAATGGGGAGGGGGAGGAGACCTGGGAAATAAATAGGAGAGGAGAGGAGAGGACTGGGGAAGGTAGATGGGACGGTGGTGGGTGAATGCAGGTAGGGAGTGGTGGGGATTGGTCAGTGGGATGGGCAGGGCGGATAGGTGGGATAGAAGATGGACAGATTGTGTCACGTCAAGGAGGCAGGGATGAGAGGGAGGGTTGGACATGGGATGGGGCCGGGGTGGGGAGTCTTTAAAACTGGTGAATTCCATGTTTAGGCCATCGGGCTGTAGGCTCCTGAGGCAGAATATGAGCTGCTGCTCCTCCAGTTTGTGTGTGGTGTCATTGTGACACTAGAGGAGGCCCAGGGTGGACATGTCACCGAGGGAGTGGGAGGAGGAGTTAAAATGGTGAACGGAAGGTGTTGTCATTTGTCGTGTACCCAGCGCAGGTGCTCTACGAAATGGTCTCCAAGTCTACGCTTGGTCTCACTGATGTAGAAGCGGCCATGTCAGGAGCAGTGGATACAGTAGACCAAGTTGGCGGATATATGGGTGAACCCCTGTCTGATGTGAAAGGTTTGCTTTGAGTCTTAAATGGAGGTGAAGGGGGAGGTGTAGGGGCAGGAGTAGCACCTCCTGCGGTTGCAGGGAAAGGTCCTTGGGGTGGTGGGGCTAGTGGGGAGTGTGGAGCTAATGAGGGAGTTGCGGAGAGAGCAGATAGGGGTGTGGAGGGAAATATCTCTTTAGTCATTTCTAACTGCCGTCGCGACATTGATTGCCTCAATCTCTCCACCCCTCTCACTCACTCCAACCTCTCCACCATGAAATGTGCAGCCCTGCGTTCCATCCATTCCAACCCTAACCTCACCCTCAAACCCACGGACAAGGGGCTGCAATAGTGGTATGGCACACTGACCTTTACATCACTGAGGCCAGGCGCCAACTCTCTGACACCTTCTCCTACCGCCCCCTCGATTATGATCCCACCCCTGACCACCAAACCATCATCTCTCAGACCATTCATAACCTCATCACCTCAGGTGATCTCACACCCACAGTCTCCAACCTCATCGTTCCCTAACTCCGCACTGCCCGTTTCTATCTCCTTCCCAAAATCCACAAACCTGACTGCCCCAGCTGACCCATTATCTCTGCCTGCTCCTGTCCAGCTGAACTCATCTCCGCTTACCTTGACTCTGTCTTTTCCCTCCCTGGTCCAGGAATTCCCCACCTACATCCAGGAGACGATCCATGCCCTCCACCTCCTCCAAGACTTCCAATTCCCTGGCCCCCAACACTTCATCTTCACTTTGAATATCCAAACCCTGTACACTTGTATCCTTCTTGCAGATGGCCTAAAAGCTTTCCACTTTTCCCTCTCCCGAAGGCCCAACCAGTCACTCTTCACTGACACCCTCATCCACTTAGCAGAACTTGTCCTTACCCTGAACAACTTCCCTCTGAACTTCTCCCACTTCCTACAGACTAAGGGGGTGGCCATGGACACCCACATAGGCCCAAGCTATGCCTGTCTCTTCATAGGATACGTCGAACAGCCCCTTTTCCGCTGCTACACTGGCACCATCCCCCACCTCTTCCTCTGCTATATCGATGACGGTATTGGCACCGCCTCATGCTCACATGAGGAGCTTGATCAGTTCATCAACTTTACTAACACCTTTCACCCCAACCTCAAATTCACCTGGACCGTCTCTGATATCTCTCTCTCCTTCCTGGACCTCTCCATCTCCATCTCTGGCAACCACCTTGAAACTGACTATTTCAAGCCACCGACTCCCACAGCTACCTAGACTACAGCTCCTTTCACCCGCCCTCCTGCAAGAATGTGATCTCCTACTCCCAATTCCTCCGCCTCTACCACATCTGCTCCCAAGATGGAGCGTTCCACTCACAGACATCTCAGGTGTCCTTCTGTTTCAAGGACCGCAACTTGTCCCCCGACTACAGTGATCATAAATGCCCTCCCTGCATCCATAGCATTTCCCACACTTCTGCTCTCAAACTCCCTCCCCCCAACAAAAATAAAGACAGAATCCCCCATATGCTCACATATCAACCCATCAACCTCTGCATCCAATGTATCATTCTCCGCCACTTCCGCCACCTACAATCTGACCCCACAACCAAAGCGATATTTCCCTCCCACCCCTATCTGCCTTTCATAGGGACCGCTCACTCCGCAACTCCTTTGTCCGCTTCACACTCCCCAATAACACCACCACACCCAGCACCTTTCCCTGCAAACGCAGGAAGTGCTACACCTGCCCCTACACCCCTCCCCTCACCTCCATTCAAGGCCCAAAACAAACATTTCATATCAGATAGGGATTCACCTGTACATCCGCCAACTTGGTCTATTGTATCTGCTGCTCCCGACGTGGCCTCCTCTACATCGATGAGACCAAGCACAGACTCGGAGACCATTTTGTAGAGCAGCTGCGGTTTGTATGCAACAAATGACAAAACCTTCTGGCCGCCAACCATTTTAACTCCCCCTCCCACTCCCACTCCCTGGGTGACATGTCCATTCTTGGCCTCCTCCAGTGCCACAATGACACCACACGCAAACTGGAGGAGCAATACCTCATACTCCGCCTTGGGAGTCTACAGCCCAATGGTCTAAACGTGGAATTCACCAGATTTAAAATCTCCCCAAACCCAGCGTCATCCCATGTCCAAACCTCTCCTCCATGCCTCCTTGACCTGACACGACCTATCCGCTCGTCCCACCTCACTGACCAATCGCCACCAATTCCTACCTGCACTCACCTATCACTACGTCCCCTAGCCCCACCCCTCCTCTATTTATTTACCAGCTCCCTTCCCTTACCCCATTTCTGAAGGGTCCTGACCTGAAATGTAAGATGTCCTGCTCCTCTGATGCTGTCTGCTGTGTTCCTAAGCTCCACACTGTATTGTCTTTGACTCCTTGCTATCTCCTCAGAACATTACCTGGATCTCTGGATTAAAAGTCCAGCAATAATACCACTAGGCCATTGCCTGCCCTCTGCTATGATCTAATGGCAGGGCAGACATGATGGAACAAATTCTGCTCTAACATCTTATTAACCACTCCCCAGTGAACTGGAAGTTAAATTTAAAGTAATGTGAAAAAGAAGCAAGGGTAAATTAGGAAAATCTTTTTCACTTGGCGAGTACTTAGTGTGTAGAATGCATTGCTTGAAAATGTGGTGGAGGCAGATTCAATGAGTCATTGAAGAGAACATTGAATGGTTATTGAGATAGAAATACTGCATGAGGGAATGGGAACACAGGCAGGAGTTGGCACTGGGTAATGATGCTCATTTAGGCTGAATGGTGTCCTTCTACATCAAAATATATTTGTGATCCTGTTAATTGTTCAAATGCTTTATTTTTCATTTTTTAAATGCTAATGAGTATAGATCCAACTTATGCAAAGTCAAAAGATCGTAATGTTTATTTTCATCTATCTTCAGAAGTAAACATTAGACAATATTACAACATTTGGACATTAAATTGGGATGCCATTCTGACACATGAACTCAAACACGCTCATTCGCAATGACGTCAGTCTCCTTATTCGGAAGGATGGGGAAAGGCGCGGGCAGCGTCATGATGTAACTGCGCGATGACGCAGAACGCTTGCTCCGCTGTTGGGAGTCGCGCGGCGACTGGCGGTGGCGGTTAACGGTCAGTGGTGGGGATGTCATTGAGGGGGTCATGTTGGGGTCAGTTTAGAGGAGAGGAGAGGAGAGGGGGAGAGGG